ATTACAACTGCAAACAACATTGATCATGATCTGTCGTCCCATAATGCACCCATAGATCACGGAATAAATCATTTTCCGATACTATGTTAAGCTGTCAAACCCATCACATGGCCGCATTCAGTCGGTCATGAGCATTTGATGAAGGGTAACTTAAGTGACCTACACGTCTTACGTGAATATTATAAGGTGATGTGATTATGATTTTTAACGTAGCTTTAGCAATTTACGTGGTCTTTGATGAAGCTGTGTTTACCCGTGTTTTTTTACGTAACAAGTATGCATTTATCCACTATGTAATTAATATTATGCTTCAAAGAAATTTATAGCCTTCAAAGTTTTCGCGAGTGCACAATCCTGAAGAGTCAACCAGATACAAGTAGATTTCTCCAAATTGTAATTCTGGCTGCATAGTAAAATCGTCCACCCACCTTTCTCCGTTCAGAAATGGTTCATTCAACTTTTTAAGTCCTATTCAGGTTCCCTGACAGTGTAGAACAATTTAGAAGGCCCACACCAGTCAGGGGGCCCACACCGGTCAGGAGGCCCAAACCGGTCAGGGGCCCACACCGATTAGGGAGCCCACACCGGTCAGGAGGCCCACACCGGTCAAGGGGGCCTAAACCCGTCAGGGGGCCCTCACCAATCAAGGGGTCCACCGCTGTTTCAACGTGTAATTCATAGCGGCCTAATGAACAACTTTTCCTAGAGACCACAAATCCTGTCCACTGCCCTGTTATTCTCTTATGCAGTTTGTATCTACTTTTCTGTTTTTAGGCTGCTTACTGATACATTTACTCATAATTTTCAAACACACTATTCCTGTAAACGATGTACAGATCTCAAACCTTTACAAATTTGTCTGAAACTTTCTTCACACGAACATAAATTATGCTAATGGCGCTCACCTAAAAGTTGCCCTACATTGACTGCGCACGCGTTAAATATTGACGTGGAAAAACCCAAACTCGACGTCAGGAAAAAAGGTCTCTATGTTGTTTATTCTACTAATTACTTCTGACAAACTGCACACACCCAGATATGCCAGCGCATTATGTGACGGCAGATCTGGGTTTACGCAGTTTGTAGTGTTACTCGTCTTACAAAGCCAGTACAGACCGTAGTTATTGTTATCGTAAACAAGAGCCAATGTACGAAAAACCATGTTAAGCCAGTTTGTCACAAGTTTCTATGCATGTAATCCGTGTCACAGTCTGTGTTTCGTTTTGCATTCCCTTTTCCGGTATTATTATTTGACAACCATCCAATCAACTGCTCTCAATCGTCAGTAAAAAAAAAAGTAGTAGCGAATTAAAATGGACCCATGATTGCAAAGAATTTCTGCAAGATCGATCCGTCTAAGGAATGTACATAAAACACTTAACTGCACGCTCACACAGATTATACAGCGTAGTTCTCGTCAGTCGATTGTGATTAAACAGCAACGTTTGGTCTTTTCGTCTTATTAGTTATGCCTTTATTAAATTTTCGTTTCTTTAATCTGCCATTCTTGCTTACAGTTGTGTAAAATGAATCAAAATGGTCTTCTTTGACATTATCGAACTTGTCATTGGAGAATAGACGTTGTATTAAGTAAGTAAAAGTTTGATGTCGAATAGGAACCTCGATTAATAATGAAATATTACGGGGAAGAGAGACTTGTTTATTGATTAATTAAGATGAAATAAAGATCAATTAATCTATTTAAATATAAAACCTGTGTCCTTCGAACGTGATCAGACTTAACACATGAATCTATTTTATAAAATTATTATAATCAGCTGATCAAAAATGAATGAAATACAAATATCCAAATTTCAATATTCTCAACAAACGATCCAGGCTATAAAAGTCGTACTGGATATGAGCATTTGTCTTTTATAATGATAAACAAGTATGATAAAGATTTTAGGGTAGGAATAATTAACTGCTAAGTTCCTTGGGGACGGGGCCTATTGTGCTGGATTACAGGACCAATTTCAGCAGCTTTTGTTGTTGTTGTGGGGCTTAACGCCATTTTTCAGCACATAAGAGGCTAGACATGGCGGTCAGTATTATTGGTGGAAGAAGAAATCGGAAAATCACACGAAAGAACCACCGACCCACGAGAAGCTACTGACAAGCTTTCTCACATATCCACATTCGCCGAATCCTAGACTCGAACCCACGTAGACAGAGGTGAGATGGCAGTGATTCATAACGGACAGAGCTTTAGACCACTCGGCCACTCGGCCCCCCCCTAATATCAGCTCATTGTATACATTCTCTTTCCATGCCAGTAGATCACTAGCATCCAAGTCATGAAGTCATGACCCAGAGGATGGATAGCTCCCGTATCAAAGACATCAAGATATACTCTCTCTCTCTCTCTCTCTCTCTCTCTCTCTCTCTCTCTCTCTCTCTCTCTCTCTCTCTCTCTCTCTCTCTCTCTCTCTCTCTATATATATATATATATATATATATATATATATATATATATATATATATATATATATATATATATATATCCAAGTTATGGCCCAGAGACTATACCATGAGGCATTCATGTGTGTAATGACCCTTTTTACTTGCTTGATTACCCCAAAAGTGTAAACAATAGAACCATTAAAACATTAACTAAACTCCCGTCAAGAATCAAACAGGTTTTTTATATTATCATTACTCTCTACAAAATAAACTCTTATTCACACTCTGTTTTAAATCCACTATCCTATTTTTTATATTCACGTGTTATAGGTGTTTGCAAAACATACATGGATGATTCTTTCCACTATTGCCTTTGGTACTGGGGCACCCAAAAGGTCGTCTAGGTAGCCACCACCTAGTTAATATTTGTAGGTAGGTTTGGATTTAATATTTTTTTATGGTCAGTGGAGGCAAAGATGTTTATTTGGGTCCCGGTCTAGAACATTAGTATTCTCATTGATAAACCTGTTGTATCTGATGCTTGCCGTGTTCTTTATGTATAATTTTAGTAACAGACTTTATCTTGTTGACAACTTTGAATAATCTAGAAATGAATCATTGACCCTGATCCTGATTCTCCTTTTGCGTTTTGGGATTTTCTATAATGTTGTTTGCCTGAGAAATCATTAATTATTGCATTTAACATCTGAGTCAGAATCGGTCGTTTTGTTGTGTTTAATATTTAATTTGGCCGAAATTATTAATTCAAATTATTATTAACTGGAAATACAAATGTGCTCATCTGTAATATTCTTGGACTGGAACATTAATTTGGAATTATAGTGATTTCAGACAAGAACATTTTTAGATTGTATTATTGTGATACATCAAAAGATTGTTTGCATATCACCACACTAAAGGACACTGGCATATTAGCATATTCAAGATTAAAGCCACGTCCTTACGTTCAATATTAGAGCTTTAAACATTTGGACTTCAGAATTTTGTTTAGGACTAACTGGCATATTATTCACAATATTTAAGTTCTTTTTAAATTTAAACGTTTTATTGAAGGAATAATTTGTTTGCTGAATTTTACAAAACTTGACTTTTGCTCTATTCGGTTACTTTGTTTTAAACCATTGTGTCGTACTAATATACTAATAAGTACTTGTCCATAGCTACTATTCTTTACGTCAATAGATGTCTATGCGCATTTACATTGAGCGTAGTCAGCATTTCAACTTCCTATGGTCAGAGGGAAATGAGTTTAATAAATAAAACGAAAAATGTCAAAAGAGTTCTTGCCGTAGAGAACAATCATCATAATCATTGCCATTATCATCTAATAGTAGCATCCTTGAAAAAATGGAATTAATAAATGTATTTTAATTGTTAATAATACAATTCCCTTCTTGCTGACAATGATGTGCTAGTTCAAGCAAGGAAGAACTATAAGAGGGACATCTATGTTATTTAGTTCCAATTTTAGGTTGCTCACAATTTAACTTTTCACACATTGATTTAATAGAGAGGTTTCTTTAGTATTCCCAAACCGTTTACATTAGTATAATTTTAATATAGTGCGCACAGTGCTTGTTGCCAAAATTAAATTTTAGTAACTTAAAGCTCACATTGAAATAAAATTGTCCAATGTAATGCCTGTGCCTGATCTCTTGAGTACACATAATTTTCCTAATACTCATCATCAAAGATCCTGCAAATCACTCGAAAAGCTACGGAAAATTGCAGGCGAGTAATAGAAAAAGATGTAAAAATAGGTGTATTGTGAAGGCTCCAATTATATTTAAAGCTTAAATTGCATTTCAATCTTGTTCTTTCCTTTCTTTGACTAATTATATCTGGTTTAACATTTTAAAGACAAGATTTTAATGTTTTGCTTCAAGTTTGTATGTTTTCTCCTTTTGAAATTAAATTACATATGTTTTTAAATCAGGACATTCAGATTTGTTGACACAGTATACATCGACTGTTTCTTTATTTCAAAGAGCGTTTGCGTGGCGGTAGATCATAATGTACCGCTTGTTCTCCTCTGCGTTGGTTTATGGTGATAAAATTATAAAAAGAAAAATGCATCTTGTATGATGCCCAAGCGTGCATACTAATATTCCATCAATGGAAAGAAAGAAAAAAAAAACAGAACTTATATGCCTCGAGATCGATGATGAAGAATGAACATATGTACTGCTTTCACTTTCTTGTTACTGTATCTATTTATTTCTCAGCTTTGTTTATAGAGATATGTGAAAATGCGATACATTGTTATTCTGATGTCGTGAGTGGCTTCCGTATGGAATAAATGTGAATTTTATGGTGAAATTCCATAACAATAAAAGTGTCGGAAATGAAACTACTATATTGAATCTTTACAGAGGGAATCTCCTAAAGTGAGTACCACGAGACTGGTGTGTGGTTGATGAATGTATTCCTATGCCTTTGTGTGAAATGCAATCCTACAGTATGCCCTTGCTCAGTCACAATATCCTGACACGATGCAAACCAGTCAGAACACTAACCTCTTAATGCTGAGCGCCAAGCGAGGCAGCTGTTAATACCATTTTAACAAATCTTTGGTATGACTCGGCCGGGATTCGAACCCGTAACCTCTCGCATCCGAGGCGGACGCTCTAACCACTAGGCCACCTGAGCGGTTTTGTACCAAATGTTCATAGCGATATATTTATGAAACACGATGAAAGAACGTAAGATTTTATTACACATAAAAGTTACGAAAATTCTGTGCATAAACTTACGTTGTTTCGTGAAACAGGTCCCTGATCGTAGGTTGCACAGATTTAGATTCACTGAAAAAAAATAGAATAACATGATGTATAACCGCTGTTTATATTTACTTCAGATTTATTGACAAGCCAAGATATAAAAGAAAGACACAAGTCATTTTCCCAAATAGGCTTTCATTTAATTTCACCATGTAAATCTATCAGTGATCCAATAGCCACAAAAGAAGTGGTTTGTGTACGTGTACATTATAAAGAATACCGTACATACTCACTTGTAAGCTGACTTCAACTGCAAACCGCACAGACCCAGATCTGCCATAGCATGATGCGTCGGAATATCTGCGTCCTTGCAGTTTCTTAGGAGCAATCGGTAGAAATAAAAATAATAGACAATGATCATGCATGCCAATCAATTCCATTTCACATGTTCAGAATTTAGTGCAAGAATGAACTTTATATATCTGTGTTTCTTTGTCTAAAAGTACGAAGAAATAATATATAATTTCTAAGTTCTTTTTTTGGGGGGGAATGGAGGTTGTGGTAGAGGTATGAACATTGATTTTGAAGAATCAATATGTGTCATTCGCATTCTAGCAGATAGCAGCCTCAAAACGATTTGGAAACAAATATCAGTTTCATCTCTTGCATGAATTCTGAACAAAAAAAAGACATTTTGGAAAATTTTGTACGAAGTGGATATTATGAAATTAGTAAATATTTATTAAAAAAATGTATAAAATCTTCCGTAATACTAAAAATTTAAGCGGGCTTCTCAAACAAATTCCTGATTTTATATATATATGTATATATATATATATATATATATATATATATATATATATATATATATATATATATATATATATATATATATATATATATATATATATATATATATATATACGATCAGGTTTTATATGTAGGTCATTTGCTACCGTCACAATTACAAGAAGTACACTGGAACAAAGATGTACCATTATTATTCTCGGCTTCTTGGAACTTATTTTGCCCATGAAAAACGATAGTGCGTGATTCCATATCCTAAGACCACACCATTATTATGACGGGATGAAAAACGGGTTGTGTCTGATGCGCTGAAACAATAAGAAAATGATTGACATTTCGGAGTGTAGCATTAACTATAAATTATAACATTCCAATCAATCATATATGAAATGTAAATACCTGGTTATGTACAATGCAGACTGACAGACGCCGCTGCAGGGAGTGTCACAGACATTTGCCAATATGCTGCATTACAGATGAGGGAAACGTTCTAAATGGTGGTAGGTTATTAGTGTATAGAGCATGGATTAAAAAAAATGCAACAGTTGCACCTACGATTGCATATAAGAGCTTAAACTTTAGTGCCGTTTTAAGGAATAGGCACGCGAGGCACGTGCCTAGGGCTTCGCGCAGCAGATGGCCCCGCGGTGGCTCAAAAACAAAATTTCGGTGTTGGTTGTGTAAGCAGTTTAGTACTATATTAATAAATTTAACAACACTATACACATGCACATGGAAATGCAATGCAATACTCTATATCTGAGACTGAGCGACTGAGGCGCAATTCTGGTTACTTTTAGGGTCAGAGTTTTTGCCGAGGACCCACTAACTTCTTTAAACGGATATGTTTAGCTTTTCAAGAAAAAAAAAAAAAAAAAAACAACAAAACTAAACAAACGAAACATTACCCCCATCCTTCCACTCTCGTGAATAGTCTTTCTTTGTTGTCGCGATAACAAGGACGCAAGACGTTCAGGAATGGAGCATTCCGTGGTTTATATTAAATGTATATGTATGGTAATTGTTGTAACCAAGGTAATCTATAGTTCCCGTGTTTGTCGATTGCCATGTAGAATAAGGTTTATTCTCTTTAGTATTATACATCCCATTTACCAGTGGCTGTCGATTGCCAGGTAGTAAAATATTTCTTCAATTTAATATCACACATATCAAATACACGTGTACGTCGATTTTCAATTAGTAGAAAGTTGTTTCTCATTAGTATTACTAATGTATGGTACAATGTCTGTCCACTACCACGTAGGGGCGAGTTTATCTCATTATTATTATTATTAAAAGTGTTTTCCAGGAGAACGTTTCTGTAAATTATTCAAATTAAGCACCCAAACTAGCTGAGTCATCAACCAAGTTATTGCATTCTGCATGTAAGGGTTGAGGGCGACATTATATTTAGCGAATATATTCCGAGTCGTAAAAATATATGTTGCGTTCGTTGGTTGCACATCTATCTATCTATCTATCTATCTATCTATCTATCTATCTATCTATCTATCTATCTATCTATCTATCTATCTATCTATCTATCTATCTATCTATCTATCTATATATATATATATATATATATATATATATATATATATATATATATATATATATATATATATATATATATATATATATATATATATATATATATATATATTGAAAAAGGTATATTCCCCTATTGTTCCATTATTTTCGCAATTATTTATTTTAAACTAAAATGTTTCACATCCATGTCTAGATGATAATCGTTTGAACTTGATATATGACTATGAAGCTGTGGTATATATTAAGACTATGGATCTGTTTCGTCTCATCTCCCTACATCTTCCCCGTGGCATATGTCCACCCCTTCCTATTGAATTTCGTAACCCCGCTTGCACAGCTTATGATTTTAAGAGTTTTAGTTCATTTACATTGGAGACGAAGAACACAAATATAAAGAAGGAATTATCTTCATATTCAGATTTGTATTTTATTATGTACTTATGTCAAGATGATGAAGATGATTTCACTTAGAGATAATACCAGTTATTGACTCTACAAAATATTTCTCACTACTTGGTCTATACTCAGCTTCTCTACCTGATCTGTACATAGAATCTTTACTTGGTGTATACAAAGTATCTTGGTGTATACACATTATCCCCACCTGGTCTATGCACAGTACCTCTACTTGATCTATGCACAGTGTCTCTACATTGTCTATACACAGTATGTTTATTTGGTCCATACATGGTATCTCTATTTGGTCCACACATGGTATTTCTACTTGGTCTATGCCTGGTATCTCCATTTGGTCTATACACAGTATGTTTACGTGATCTATACACAGTATCTCTACATGATCTATAAAGAGTATCCCCTTTGGTCTATTATAGTTCTACTTGGTCGTACATACAATGTCTCTACTTCGTCTAAATACAGTATCTTTAGTTGGTTAATACACTCTTTCTCTACTTAGTCTACACAGTATCTCTACATGGCCTATTCACAGTATCACTACATGGTCTATACGTGGTATATATACTTGGTCTACACACGGTATCTTTACTTGGTCTATACACAGCATCTATACTTGGTCTACATACAGTATCTCTAATTGATCTATACCCAATATCTCTTCGTTTGGGTTTAGCAGCGATAGCATATTTGCATCTGTTTGCAAATAATATGAAATTCATAGCATTCGCCGAAGCAGCAGAGAGGGTGAACCCTACAACAATATATTTGCGACAAAATCGATTAAAGCCTCAGAATGCCAATGGAGCCTTCCTACGAAATCTCATTTTAACCAAAAAAAAATTAAAGGTCCCATCTTAGCAATTTTGTCGCAAATACATTGTCATAACCACACTCAAATTGCTGCCATCTACGTCTACAAATTTTTGCGACAGAATCGATTAAAGCCTCAGAATGCCAATGGAACCTTCCTACGAAATCTCATATTTTAACCAAAAAAAAAATAAAGACCCCATCTTAGCGATTTTGTCGCAAATACATTGTCATAACCACACTCAAATTGCTGCCATCTACGGTCGCAAATATGTTGTCATTTCACCCTCTCTGCTGCTGATTAATACAAATTATTTAACCAAATATTTGATCAAGTCCAATACGATATCGTGACCGAGGGTCGTGTAAATTTATTGTTATAAATCCATATGGGGCAGACTGAGCATGACTAAAGTAATTTTTAAATCCATTGAAGTCCATATCGGAACACCATGTTTGCCAAATATTTCGTAGCGTATGTGTATCAACGCCATTGAATACAGCAAGAATATTGCAGTTATCGCGAATCACTTTTGGAATTTGAGTATATCGTTGAGTGACATATATCACGTCAGTGTTTTTATGCCTACCTCGGGAAAATATTCTAGCAGGGTTCTTTTGATTATCTAACATTACATCATCGTACACTACAAGATTGTTTATGTCTCCATCGAGATCTTCTACTGATGGTGCATCATCAATATCAGTAATAAAGTCGATTACACTTTCACCTTTAATTTCTGATGCTTTTTCATTATAATCTTTTAGCACTTCATAGCACCGTTGATCATCTACGGATGGGGCAACTAAATATAATTTATCCCACTTCATAAATCGCATTATCAAATTAAGCAGTAATTGTGTTTTGCCTGATCCAGATGGTCCGATTATAATGGCACGGACAGAATTCGGAAGCGCTGCGTGGTGTTTTACCAGTTCTCTTCTTTTAGTCGCTGAAAAATCAATTATATTCATAACGCTATATATAAATTATGGATCTATATTGTGTTAAATGTAAACAGCGTACTGATACAACCGATCAGACAACCATTACAACTAAAAACAATAGACTAGCGCTTACTGGTAAGTGTGTAACATGTGGTACAAAAAAATTTAGATTTTTAAAAAAAAGCAACTCGGAGGTGATATTGCCGCAAAACTTGGAAAACTCCCCGGAACCCCATGGGCAAAATACCCCGGAGAAAAACACCTTCCAGGATATAGCTACTGTGGTCCCGGAACGAGATTAGATATCAGACTTGATGATCAAAATCAGCCCCGGCCTGGTGAGTATCCGATAAATGCTATTGATAAGGCATGTCATGCTCATGATGTTGCATATAAA